CCACACAACTAGTTCTTGTTCTTCATTTTTAATCGACTTCTTTTCCTCTTTTTATTCCAATCAGTTTGCTCTCTTTCATATGAAGAATACAACTGAAAAATTCTGCAAATTTAACAAATACAGCAAGCAACCGTAAATGAGAAATGCTTTTTTCACTTATGTTTACATGAAAAAGAGAGAGAGAGAGAGAGCAAAACAATAACATGTGTAAAGTCCCCGCAAACATTTCTTACATAGTCAGGAATATACAATTATTTCTTCGAATTTTGAGAAAACACTTCTTTCAATTAGGAAAACTATCCACATATCCATCCTTGGATCACTGTTATATATCCATTTAAAGCTGAGTTCTGAGGCATGTGAGATGCTATTGCATGCGGTGATTTTCAGTTATCTAATGGTGATCGTAAGTCGAACGAGGCCTTTGAACACGATATAAACGACTGCTGAGGACGTGTGCCGCTGTGGACATTTTTGGAATTGCACTAAATGTCTACCACTCTAAGGCTGAAGTAATTATGTTTTCTTCTTCTATCAATCTTTCTTCTTATGCTAATTTCTATCTTGGTAATGTCAAAATTGAACTTATCTATTTTCACATGTGCTTGGGCGTCATGATCAACAATGATCTCCGGTTGGAAACGTTTAATAACGTAATGTCTGGTTAAGTTTGAGGTACGCTGATAACGATTTATGCTACCAATACCTAACTATCATGTTAGACGAAAACTTGCACATGCTCTTCTTATACTGCAGGTGTTGTAGGTGCATGGGCGGCACGATCGACAATGATCTCTCGTTTGCGAAGCATACTCACCTAATAATATTTAGGCAAGTTTCAGGTACGCTAATGATGACCTACACTACCAATACGTATCTATCTCTTCATGTTAGACGGAAACTGGCTCATGCTTTTTTTATGCCGCAGATCTCGTATTGCCTCGAGGTTGTATCTGCCTTTTCTGTTAATAGGTTACAAAGAAAGATCAATGCGGTTCTCATATTCGTGTACAATTTCAAGCGTGGAGACCATGTCGTATGTTCAAAGAGTGTACCTTTAGCGACTTTACGAAATATCATAAGTTAGTTGATTTTCATCTTGACGTGATGAGATAGGGCCTTTCCTCTCTATTATGTGATATATTTAGATTCACACGAAATTCTTCAATTTATATTCGTAGAACCTGTAGATTAATCTTTGAAAGTTCTTTTCTGGTTGGAGCGAGACGTTTCTGGGATTATTTGCTCTTTGAATTCCGCATTTTCTCACGATCTAATAATATCTTCCGTCTTAAGCTTCTAGACTATCTTACAGGCTCTATATGACTACTGGGTGGTTTTTTTTTTTTTTTTTGTAAATGACAGCCAAGTGTTAAAAATACTACGATTTGTCGTGAAGTGAAGAAACAGAAAAGTAAAATTATTCATTTGATAATATATATCGCGAATTTTTTGTTAAAGCAGCCGAACTTTCTATTAAACCAGCCAAAGTTGCTGTTAAACCTCCGATTTTTCTGCTAAACCTCTGATTTGAAGAAGAAGAGAAATAAACAAGGAAAAAAAAAAGGCATCGACATAAATGTGAAACCGTCGTTTCTCTATGAAAATCAATCTTTTGCTAGGAATGCAAACGCCAGCAGGTATTATTTTCTGTAAATATCTCCCGGATCTTTTCTGAAACGTAATCTCCTTGCGACATTTTGCTTATTAAACTGTTTTTTCAGTTCTGCGTAAAGTACTACATTCTGAATATGCGATAAAATTAATGCCATAAATATCCGTCGCTAGAGACATAAAAATATCCCTTTAATTTGGAGCGTTTTGTTCTTCTTCAGCTAAGGTGTGATATTTAATATTTAATGTGCTGATTCGTTAAGCGATGAATCTCATAATCATATACACGTTGAAGGTCACTAATTTGACTGGTATCATTGCATATTTGTAACCAGGTACCAGCACGTGTATCAATGGAAACAGAAATTGCTCTTTATGTACTCCTTAGTTTTTACCGAATTGTCCAGTAACCGACTCAACACAAAGATATTATTACTTACAGTTTCGAAAGTCGTTTTATGATAAGAACGCTGTGGAGGTCCATCTCACTGCCATAAATATTTTGTACGGGTCTTCCTCTTGCTGCTCATATATTTTACAGGTCACAACTTTCCTTAATTCAGTCATTCATATAACGGATTTTCAAAATAAAATGTTATGTGGAACGGGGTCGAAAATAACGTCCGCACTGTCAGCCATCGACATTCTGGCGTAACGTGTGAAGAGGTTAGTGTAAGTAGGGCAACAAATTGTAATTGATTTAAAATATAATTTTCTCAAATTTTTCGATTCAGCTGTTTTACAGTATTGACACTAACCTAGACTTTCAGCCGAATGAGAGCTGCCGAGAGGTGCGTTATCTGAAACTACCAGCCATGGACCAGTTCCCTTTGAATTTAAATGAACGTCTCAGTCTTGCGATCAAAAAAAACATTGGAAACGGCGACTTTGATAATATTTTAAAATTTCTTTATGATCATTATAAAAAAATTTTTTTGGCTAGAAATCCACCGGAATTTGTAACTTTCCGTGGGCTCTTGTGACTCATTATGTGCACGCCCTACGTGTGACTCGTGTCAATGAGACATTTTATTTATCGGAACGTGAAACCGACCAAAAGAAGTTTGAAAGGCTTCATGCGAAAGAGTAGCAAAGAACCTTCTGCGCGTACGGTTTTAAATTTGAACAATATTGTCTGTCAAAGTGCCCTCCAAAAATCCTAATGTTAGCGAACCAGTTGATGAACGTGCCGAGTACGCCTGTGTTTTTCAAACCCGCTTAGAGAGTCTAAATCTGCTGTATAGCGCGGAAAGGGATGGTATCATGAGTCATGAAGCTGTATCTCTGTAAAAAGATATGTATTCCGAGCAAACTTTATGTTTTCTAAGGCGTTCTTTTCTTTTCAGCGATTGTAAGGAACCTAATTTGGGGCCATTGGAATTCGTGGAAATCAAGGTGCGGGAAGGTAATGTCACCCATAGAAAATTGTATTCATTCCTTCGCTACAAAAAAGGCAACTAGTGGTTCTAGTCTTATCTAGTTGGGATCGAAAATATCTATGTGGGCCTTCGTAACGGCAGAGGTTCCGTGCAAAAGATTGAATGCACGGAAACTAGCTCATTGCCTAAGCTAAACAATGTAAGCAATAAAAACGCTATGCTCGTTATTCCGTAATCTATGTTAACATCACAACAAAAATTTTTCTAGCAATGTTTTTGGGCAGCATCGGTTTTTGAAGCAGTTTCTTCTCACTTTGAAAAGTTCTATTGCTGAAATAAAACTTAAAATAATACTAATGTTAACAACAATGCTTATGCAATAGCTCCGACTGATATTTAGCTGCTATAAGGACTAATGGTTATTTCTGTGTCATGGAAAGATAATGGCGGTTGTAATGTTAGCAGACCGGCTTGAGAATGAGAAAACGAGATTTATAGGATTATTTTTTGAATTAAATATGCTTTATTAAAACCTCGGTATAGCTCGTCCCTTTTTGCTGGATTTCTTCAGTTTTCGAATTTGCTTATCTTTTATTCGCTTATTAATATTCTCTTGACGTTTCTTTTGTCGCGCTGCTATATCATTATCAACTTTTTTTCACGATCTTGGCATTCCTTTTTCGATTTCTTCTTGTGAACTTTGTATTTCTTGATGGTTTTATAAATTAATTTGAAATCATCTCTAACCTTTTTACCATCAGCTTTATTGAAAGATTTCTTCCACGATAATTCAGTCTTTAATTCAGAATATTTTCTAATATGTATTAACGGAGATATGGAAAAAACATATGATATTGTTTATATTTCAAAAGGAGGTATGGAAATTGGAATGAAAAACATATGAAATCATAGGGTGGTATGGAAACTCGATTGAAAACTATATGGATTCAAAAGGTGGTATGGAAAAAAACATATAATATTGTTTACAGTTCAAAAGCAGGTATGGAAATTGGAATGAAAGACATATGAAATCATAGGGAGATATGGAAAAAACAATTTTCCCATCTTCATTAAATATAGATTTGCTCAGAATGGGCACAGAATTTTATCCAACCATTGTTGTTGTAATCTCAAAAACATATAAATCGCTGAGATCTTGAAAGCTATCCCCAGTCCCCATACAAATAAATTAAACGTTTGTCGACAACTAACTGATGACGGTCACGATTGCCTCAATTTTGCAAAATTTAATTTTCAAATTTATAACGAACAGAATTTTAAATGTTGCCAATGGCCTGGTTGTGTTTGTCCCAGAGCTGTTTGCAAACGTCAGATATGTTTATAATCTTGGCGACTTAAATACGCATTTACTAGTCCTTCACAATTAAATTCTTCAGCCTTATCAAAATCCCCGCTCACGACCGCGCCCATAGATTATAAAACACATATTCAATTATTGAGAAGTGTGAACGAACAAATTATTGAGAACATATACGTAAATACTACTGCGTGTGTATATGCGAAATATAGAAATAAAACTGTTTGGAACACTATTGTTGAACAGCCTCAGATTCTGAATAGATTTAAGCATGTCCACCTGTCAATCGGGTCACCCAATTTTATATCGATATATATTATGTTATATTTTTGATTTAGTGGAGGAAAATTAGCACACCAACGTGTTTAGGCCAAAAATGCATGCTATTTAAAATGGTGTGGATCGAACCAGTTGCCATAAAATGGCCCAATTTGAAAACAATGTCCTTTTGTTGCATCGTTACGAAAATTAACGCGTTTTAACAAGATGGTTATGGTGTAATGTTTTTACACTTGCCTCAGGTTAAAAAAAGTCTACAAATAATTGCCTTACTTTAACATCCACGACTGGATAGTTTATTATTCGTATTTGATTGTAATTTAGAGTGAAACTATGTTCGGCTTGTCCTCGTATCGCATATCATTGTACTACATCTCTTTTATTTATTTCCATCGTTTTTTTTTTTTTTTTTTTGGTAAATTCAAGCTATTTTAACAATTATTTGGTTTTATAACTAAAGAAACTTAACAGTTATTTTACTTACTTAATTGCCTGCATAGGATTTTATACATTGTTTTAAAGGTTTGAAAAAAAAATGTTTTGGGAAAAAAGATAAAGATGAAGGAAAACGCTTAAAGCTTAAACTATACGCGCCCAGCACGTTCCAAATTATCGTTGTCTAGCAGATCATGCGCGTGGCGATAATTCAAAACTCTTCCTGTCGTAGACTCAGCTACTTGTAAATAAGGATTAGGTTTAGTATTTTTCTTATTGCCAATCGAGGTAAAGCCTTTTTCATATAATATGCAATAAGCAACGTCATATACGTAGATATATTGCCAAATATCGCGGCATGTCCAGTCAAGAATTGGATTAATGCGCATTAATGCCGGCCAACCGGGATCAGTGGGTTGCATTGTCTTTAAATGTTCACAATGAGGATCAGTTCTTCTAGAGCCCATAAACACCGCCTTAATTAATGGCCTTTCTCTGCACATCCTTTCTAGCGCTTGTTTAATAGTACCTTCCATCTTAATCAATTCAATATTATAGAGTTTGGAGCAATCATTAACAAACTCATCAATTTCCGAAAAGCCATCGGGATCCGTTATAAATAATGCGAGTATTTTAAGATGCTTGAGATTGTGATCTTTCTGGAAAAAGCGGGCGAGCATATGAAGAACTACAGTGCTGTCTTTGCCGCCATTGAAAGAGAGCACCACTTCCTCAGCTTTATACATTTGAAAAGTTTTTTTACAAAGCTCTTCAAACGAATTCTCTTTAATCTGAAGATTGCTTTTAGTCTCTTCGAAATTATATTTCGATTCCAAGAGCGATTCGGGGTTTGCCCTAAGGCCATTCTCTTCCAGAACTGCGTTTATCGACATGACGCGAATTAAGATTTGCGCTCGAGTTCAATGCTTCTTGCTTGCTCCCTTCGACTCCCTTTCGCCTTTTTTTCTGTGAGGATTTCGTTTGATTTTATAAAGTCACTATGTTTTCTCCTTTTTTGTTTTTGGTTTTATCTCTTGTTTTAGTAATTCTTTGAAACGCTCTGTCAGTGTTGTGCTGCTGCTTCTTTCCATAAGTTACAATTCCAATTTGCTTCTTTATGATGCTTTTATAGCGTTATTATTTTTTGTTTTGAGTTATGCTGTCGGCTCGGCCATGTATCTTGCTTTGGTTTCGTTTTGGATTTTTTTCGATTTCTGCTCTAATGGCCCACCGATGTTTACAATTAAGTACATCAGTTCTCGTTTCTTCCTAACGAAAGTATTAAAATTTATGGAATTAGAAATTGTTATTGATGTCTTTGAAGTTTTTTAATTATGCCATTTCCTTGATGCGTCGACCTCGCAGGCAATTATTTAATATTTTTTTATAATTACGGTAAACGTGACTTGAAATTGGTTTATTTGATTTTCGAATTCTTTACGAAAATTTCAAACATAAAATCTGCGGTGAATTGATAATATTAATATATTACATCACACAGCTGTTTTATTTCTGAAGAAAAAATGTGCCCAGAGTTGCCGTTAGAATAAACAAATTAACTGGTACAAAGTCTAAAGCTGAAGTTTTTTAATTTTGTTATTTCTTTGATACGTCGACGTCGCAAGCAATTAATTATTATATTTTTATAATTACGGTAAATGTGACTTGAAATTAGTTTATTTGATATTCGAACTTCTTACGAAAATTTCAAACATGATATCTGCGGTGAATTTATAATATTATTATATTACATCACACAGCTGTTTTATTTCTGAAGAATGTTTACAGTGGTGCTGTAAAAGAGGAACAAATTGGGGCTTTTGCCGACGGCTTTGCAATTAACATAGACCATTACGTTCTTTCTGTAAATTAGCATAGAGTATTACTTCCGTTCTGCAAATTAGCTAAACATTTCGAAAGTTACCTGATAGAGAGCGTACAAGTGTAAAACTTTCCTATCGGACACAAGATGGCCTTCATGTATTTATTATTAAAACTCTTACCACGATTCCCACTTTAGTTAACAAGGAAAACATTTGAAATATCTTTTGCTGAGAATTTTAAGAGGAGGAACTTTTTCTGAAAAGCTGAATATGAAAATAAAAGTTTTAATGCATATATATATATATATTATAATTTTTTATATGTTCGATACGAAAAATAGCTGATGAAACGATGTTGGCAATCATTGTCAACATGACATTATGTATAAACAATAACAATTAATTCTTTACTGAAGTGTGAGATTTACACAGAAAAACGATTCTGCAGTTTTATATTGCTTCACTGGAAATAAATTCGATTTGATAACTTAAAAATTATGGATGACGGAGATTATGATAACGAGGAGTAAGTAAAGTGACCGTTAACAAAATATTAGATGAATTTCTGAAAATATTAAATAGATTTTAAACATGTAGACGCTCAACCACGTTGTTTCTCTTCTGTTTTTTCTTTTAGTGTTGGTGGTGATGATTTTGACGATGTTGACGAAGAGGACAACATTGATGATATCAATCCGGAAGAAGAAGTGGATAATATTGAAATGATAGTTCCCGGAAATGCGGGTGGGGGAGTGCCGAAAGCAAAAAGAATAACTACAAAATATATGACAAAGTACGAGCGAGCGCGTGTACTAGGTACAAGAGCTTTGCAAATAGCTATGTGCGCTCCAATTATGGTTGAATTGGAAGGCGAGACAGATCCCTTGCAAATTGCTATGAAAGAACTCAAACAAAAGAAGATTCCCATTATTATTAGGCGATTTCTTCCCGATCACTCGTATGAAGACTGGAGCATAGATGAGCTAATAATAGTGGATCATTAATAAGAACGTTCTGTGTAATATTAAATTTTAAGCTGAATAAAAGTAAATATTTTTAGATAAAAATTGATTGATCATGTGTTAGGAGACATAAAAGCATGCATTTCGGCTATTCCCCCTACACCAGCTGCTCGAAATAAAACAGTAAAAGTGTTGGTTTTTGACGCTTTCTTTTTTTGCGCATAAAAGAGCTCATGGGAATCTCGCTTGGAAAAACTAATCTGTCAGCATCTGATCTCTAATAAAAAATGTAAATAAAAATCACATGTTTAAACGATATCAAAAATGATGCCGTAAAGTATGTTATACGTTATTGGCGAAAGTAATCGTTACTAATTTGTTTAGCTGATTAACGGCAGAAGAAGAAGAATTTGTTTAGCATACAACTTGTCGCTGGTAAAATCGATAAAATTAAGAAAAATTGCATAAAGTAATTGAATAAAATTCAGTAAATTTTACTAAATTAATTTTTCTTTTTTTTTTTCTAATAAGTGATTTTTTTTGTTTTTAAGATAAATCGCAAAATGCTGCAGTACGTATTGTTTTTAAGTTTGGCCTGTCAATATGCTACGGCATACACACACACATACACACCCATTTCTAAGGAAAGCATTTTTGCTGATGTTTTATTAAGTGAACTATTGAATCGTATGGACAAGGTATTTTATTTTTTTTTTAAATCACCATAGCGTTTATATGAATTGTCCTTTTTTTTCTAACAAATTAAAGCAATTGATTTTTTATTCAATCATAATTTATTGATATTTGTAATCTTACATTTTTACAAGGACGGTGATACCGTGAGCAATTATTTTGATATAGATGGTGATTTGCCTAAAGGCGTTGATTTAGTGTCACGTTCGTCAAGTCAAAATATACCCGATGATTATGAATTTCGCAATATGTTTTCGGTTGCTTCAAATCCTTCGTTACGCGATCAAGAATACTTGCAACATAGCTCATTGTGGGGCCATCAGTATGTTTCGGGTGGCATGGGTGAGGCGCCTAATCATTATCCATCTTTAGTTAAGACCGATGCAAGCCTACCAGCCTATTGTAATCCTCCAAACCCCTGCCCAATCGGTTATGACGAAACACAAGGTTGCATTTCGGAATTTGAAAACACCGCTCTTTTTAGTCGAGAATATCAAGCAGCCCAAGATTGTACATGCGATAATGAGCATATGTTCGATTGTGCCGGCCAGGACAGTAGCGGCGGTGGTGGTAATAGTGAAATTGCTTCAACAATGGAAAAATTTTTAATGCATCAATTTCAAAATGATAATGGTCTCGAGAACTCCAATCCGAATGGCGGCGTTGTTAAAAAATTCTTCTCCTACAATCATCCAACAGATAATAATCCCTTCCTCGAGGGTGAGAAACTACCAATTGCCGCGAAGAAAGGCATTCATATCAAAATCTAAATCAGATTAAATTGTTATTTATTGAAATTTAAACTTAAATGCATCGTAAAAAACTTGTTTTAAAATGCTTACATGTATAAATGTGTGTACGTAATAGTCTATGTGTTTTCTTCCTGTTAAATGCAAGTGCACAGCAATCCATTAGAAATAATAAAATAAACATCAATCCTGTAAGATTATTTTACTGAACAGTTTTAACAATATCTCAGTAGGTGCAAGATAAAGGGGAAGAGTAAGACGTAAGTTCGGAAATATTGGCATTTCCGAGCTTTGGGCGGAGTATGTGATCTCTAAAAATCGTTATGTGCTTTGATATTTAAAATAAAATAAACCAATGTGGTCCAAATGTCCATAAGGTTGATAAGGTTTAGTTCCAATTATTATTATGAACAAATTTTCTTCAAGAAGTATTGAAGACTTCGGTTTTTCACCATAAAACAAATAAGGCAAGGCCGTCCTATCCTACATCGAATTGTTTAACACAATTCGTATTTTTGTATGAAATTACAAAGGATCAATTTTCCTAGTATTCTTACATACGATATGATCCATAAAACAGGTCGAGATAGTCCAAATTTGGTAGGATTATTTTTTTTATGTTATATTACTATTATGATATAATTTTCATCATGAACCATTAAAAATCATAACTTTTCGTCGTATGAGTTTCAGTTTTCGTTATATGAGAAAAGGTTAAAAATAAAAAATTGCCTCGACCTCAAACTTTTCGTACAAATTCAGAATGCCGAAATAATACTAATTAGCCGCAAGGTTGCCAAGAAATTTTGAAAATTGCAATCTTTTTCATTTAACGACTTTTTAGAATAGGGCGTTATATGGGGAGTGATTGAAAAAGTGTGTCGATCCCAACAATTTTCGATAGTGTTCTTCCTTGGGTCAAAGCACGTTCCTAAACCAAATTTCAACAAAATATCTCAAGAATTTTGACTTGTAGGTTGAACACAAATTTACATGGACTGACAGACGGACAGACACGCTTAGACGGTCTATTAACAAGTGGGACTATCTTAAGCTCTTCTATGTGTTGCATATGTCCGCACTAACTTAATAAACATTGTACCGTAGCAAGGGTTCCAAGGTGAGAGGTTCAAAAATTGAATCGTTCGATTCACACAATGCAAAATTGTGAAATACTAAAATGAAGACAAGTTTTATTGCGATATTCAAAAAGTTCCCTGATTTTGGTGGGTCATGTCGAAACGGTGGTCTAACGCGAGCCATTTTCATAGCGTTCGTTGTTGGAACGAAGCACGTCATTGTAAGAAATTTCATGAAATTATCTCGAAAATTGTACGTTCAACTTTAGTACAAGGATTAAATGGACAGACAGACAGACAAGTTTAGATCGATTGGCATAATGATTGTAGATCGATCGGGTATAATAAAAGAAAAGATTTTTTTAAACCCTTCTGGCGGTTACATGCGTTCCGCCAAACATAACATCCGTCGTACTACAAGTTGTGTAGGGATTTATGATAGAAGTGCAATGAAAGACAAAACCTTGCTCGTACGCTGTTGGACCAAAACATGTCGTTGTAAGAAATTTCATGAAAATATCTCGAAAATAGACGGATGGGTGCACAAGTCTAGACTCTTGTGCCGGTTACTTGCGTTCGTCCAAACATAATAGCACAAGTTATGTAAGGTATAATAAAATATCTTTCTTGCATTAACGCCTCTCTTGGACAAATTCATTCATTCATTCATTCATTCATATGACAATGTCTCGACAAGAGCTGTTGAATTTGTTATGAAAGCTTTCCTTAAATCAGAAAACATATCTACGGTTCCGTATATTTATGCAAAATTAAAGCTCAAGACGTGTTACAAATTAAAAGATAAATTTTTGACACGAAAGCGATAGGAATACTGTCACGAACACTCTTAATTTTATACCAGATAATCTTTCAATTTTTTTCTTCATCGTTTTCGATTAGGCCCATCTCTCTGAACGGGTACATATCTCGTTTGTTTTCATGTCAACTCATGATTTTCTTCCTCTTCAATTTCTTCGATTTCATTGATCGTTGATAATTTGAATGGATTTTTTCGCAATTCACCGATACGCTTACGCATTTCCTCATGACTTAAGATGAAACTTTTCCATGCAATCAATTCCTCATCTTTACTGTCTTTACTGGGTAAAATTTTGCTCTCAATATTGTCAATACCTTTGATCAGTTGTACGAACATCAAGTCTAGAAAGCATTTCCTCACATGCAATTGTGTCAATTCGGTGAACCAATTCAATGAAGTCGCATTCATCATTAGGATTATAATAATCAAACATGTCGGTATAATAACGATTATAAGAAGGGCAAGAGGGCAAAAATGTTCGAAACTACGGTAACAAATTTCGAATAAATGTTTCCAATATTGTAGACTTTTACTGTCTATCCGAAGCTCATTATACACAAAGGCCATAAACACAATTATAAAGAAGAGCGCGTAACCAATGGACGGGCTATATAAAGCATTCAAAACTTTTCGTAATATTCGCATATTAAATATAATTCAAATATAATATTCTTTTCTTTTTTTTTTTTATTTTATTTATTTATTTATTTAAATAAAGTTCCTTTTTCTTCTGCTTTTAGAATTTTGAACTTTTTCTGATAATTTACGCAAAGAAAAAATTTTGAAAAACAGTATAAATAAAATTTATGTAGATAATGAAATAAATTGCACAGGGTTTACGACATTCCGTTTTCGCTTCTTCCTCCTTTTTTTATTGCTCAACAATATTTATTGTATTAGGGTACATAAAGTTTACGTGGTTGTATGCAACATCCAGAAGGGCTTGGAATAAATCCAATCTTTAATTATACCAGAGTTCCTGTTGAATCGAGTTAAGTTCCGCTGGTTTGTCCGTCTGTGTGTTTGTCCATTTGTCAGTCTACCCGTCTATTCATCTAACCACTTGTCAGTATGTTCTTAAGTGAGAGAGGGACTTCATGAAGTTTTTTCATTAAAATCCAATCACGTTTAATATCCTATACGATGGAAGGGAATATTAGGTTTATGTGCACGTATGCAGAAGGATTTACCACAGACCCATTTTTTATTATATCAGATTCACTTCTGAATCGCTTTCTGAATCGATCTATCCGTCTATTCGTCTGCCCATCTGTCAGTCTGTCCCTCTGACAGTTGTTCTTTTTCTTCTTCTTGTTTTCTTTTTCTTATCCTCTTAGTTTCGAGAAAAACGTCATCGTGTTTTTTCACCAAAATTCCAATACATTTTATACTTTACACCATTTGTGGTACAATGGTACATTAGGCTTATGCGGATATATGTGATACTCGGACGACTTGAGATATACTCCCAATTCATATTATATTCAAAGAATATGATTCTGAATCGATCTAGGTTTGTCGGCCTGCCTGACCTTCTATCCGCCTTGCTTTCTTGCGTTCAGCTTAGACTCCGCAATTTTCGAGAGAAATTTCGAACGCAATTGCAAAGAGATTTGGATCAAAACACTTTCACGATCACTTACCATACAACAGTTTTTGAAACAGTTGTTATATGAATAACTCTAGGATGGTACAAGACATTTAATGGTGACCCATCATCCATTAGATATGTTTCACTTTTTTCTTTTATGAAGCGACTTTCTATTTGATTAGAAACTGAGTTAGGTGCGAGCTAAATTGAATCCTTCTTACACTTGTGGAGTGCCTACTACAGAAATGGAATATACAATGTTTGCCGTTTACGTACAAAACTTTTTAATTAAAGCTAATTTTCTAACCTAACTTACTTTATGTACATAAAGGTGAAACCAGTGAAAACACTGCAGCGGGAACCGGTCGAACATTGAATACCTTATATAACCCTACCCCAGTTATTCATTGAACAGCTATTCAGAATCAGGCTTTATGTGAGGAGTAGTTGAAAAAGTGATCCGATCCGAACCTTTTTCAATAGCATTCGTTTTTGAACCAAATCAAAAAGGTGCGTTTCACCAAAATATCTCCAATATGGCGGTCTTTGTAAACTGGTCACAAGAACCTAGCAAACTGAGATAACCATACAATGAAAGACGCAATAGACGGTCAACAAAAAGCATCAAACGTCGGCATTTTTAACCCTGCTCTTCTCTTATTGCTTGCCGGGGTTCGGTTTATTACTTTCGATATCGAGAGTAAACTCGAGCGTAACTTGAAGATGACTTCTTGAGAAAAATTTCACGAGTGAAAGATTTTTTATTCGTTGTGCATACTTTGGCGACAGCCATAAGTTTTCATTCAGTTCGTTACTCGAGTTTACTCGATATCGGGAATCCTGCACACTACAATTAGTCCCGTAAAGGTAAAAAAGAATTTTTTAAAACAATTTTTTATAAAAAAAACTATATATATTTTATACAAAAAGTTATAAATTACATGCATTATATATATGTATATATATATACAACAAATTTTTAATCAAATTAATATTTTATAAATAATTAATTCTATTATGCTTAGTTGAGTATTTTTCTTGGATTTGTTCACTGGTATTGTAGCCGGCATATTCATGACCAAGCAACAATTTTTTTTTTTGCATTATATATATTTTTTTTCACATTCTAATCATTTTAATTAAACTAACATTTACGTATAAACTAAGTACAATAGGAGCATTCACATTCAATGCTCTGCCTTACTATTATAAATAATTAAAAAAAATAAAAAATAAAAAGAATAAAAACATTATTATATAAGAAAAGAATTTACAAACTGAACTAAACGTATTATCGAGATATAATCTCAACGATTATTTTCATGCGTAAATAATTTCATTCATTCATTCGTAATGATCAATAGACTAAGGGGCAGTTTGTGTTTAGCTTTTTAGTTGTGTTTAGCTTTTTACTTTCTCTCAATTAGAGATGAGTGAAATTATTTAAAAAAAAAAAAAATTAAAAAAATAAAAAAGATATTTACAAATTATATAACAAATTGATATTTCGTTTACTTTTGTTTTTCACCTATTTTTGTTTGTGTTTCTTTTTTCTCTTCCTTAATAATATCATTAAAGTTCAAAGGCAGTATTTAAAGGCAGTTAGTTATCTATAAAATTTCTATAAATAAAAAAAAAAATAAACAAAAACAGTATAAAATATAAAAGTGAACACGATGTAGGTTTGAAATAAAAGGAAGACAAATATTTGAGACTTCGATTGGGTATAGAAAAGAGCACAAAAAAAGAAAAAAAGAAAAGAAGAGCAAGTAAGAAAGTCAAATTCGTTCGGGACCGAATCTTTTATAACCATCACCGTTATCCTGAAGGAGATGAAAGAATTAAAGGAACAACATTTTCCGGCTCTCTAATATGAAATGGGCGGAGCTGATTATTTCGATTTTCAAAATAAAAGTTTCTGTCTTTATTTTATTTTTAAGCGATAGCTTAACGCTTTTTCGGTCAACAGACATCGAACACATGGACAGACGGACAGACGGACATGCTTAAAATCGATTCAGAATTTGATGCTGATCAAGAATTCATGTACTTTGTGGGGACGCTGATGATTCCTTGTGGGCGTTGCGAACGTGATCTATCTTTCATCCTTCGGTGATGGGTATAAAAATAACTTATTATAAAAAGGAACGAAAGACATGCGTAAGAACGCCAAAGAAAGAAAATTTCATTAATTGCATTCATTTATAAACGTCCGGTATTGCTGGTATTGTTGCCCCAGGTAACATGATTGGGAGTACGAGTAGTCAATCTTAAGGAATTGGCATCATCCTCTTCATTCACGTGCTCGTAGCCTTGATTTATTGTACCGCCGCCATTCGATCCATAGATTTGCTAAATTAATATCAAAGTTTAATGGGAACATGCATTGGGCAAGTAAACAAAAGATATATCATACCTCCGAAGGTAAGCCATTGACATTAAAAACATCTTTAGCACTAGCAATGGAGATACGGCCGCTCCGATGATTGGGTATACCACCATTATTGTTTAGCTAAAGGTAATGAAAAATTTACTTCCAAATCTTACTAAAATGCAATTGTCTTACGGTTGTCCCGGTTGTAATGCCATATTCGTTCTTGGCTCCTAATGTTTGCATTGCTGACTTCCTGCGCTCAGCCATTACGGAATTTTTACGTACTTCTAAAGCTCTTATGGTTTCAGCGCGCATCGTCAAACGTCTCGTCAAAATTGGAGTCGCTAAATGACGAAACGTATTAGTTAAAATTCTTTTTTTTTTTCGAATTGATTCGGTTTAGACCGATTGATCAAAAACTAATGAGAATTTCCGATTTGATCATAAATTATTTGAGTTGAGTTGATCTCATTGCAGTAAGTCATACATTTTACTGAGTTTCTAATTCTCTACTTCTCTAATCCAAAGCTTTTCAAACAAAGATACGAAAAAACCCGCTTTCATTTGGACCCGTTGCATTTCCATCATCAATGCAATTTTGAATCATTTCATTCACAATCTATCGTCAAAACAATTCATTTCTTTTGAAGTTAGTAGAAATTTGCACTCCACATAGCAAAAAAGAAAAAAAAAAACAATTTTTAACATTTATGCCGTTCCCTTAAAAACGGT